AACGAAATTACTTTAAAAATGCATGCCGAATATTCAACACAAAACGTGCACGAGGAAAATCTTTCGGCAGTGAAAATTCTAACACGTGCTGACAAGTAGTGCAGCGCGCAACTAAAATCTACAACCCTACACCTACAGCCTCTGCTTTTAATTCCAAAAAATTCGCCAAGCAGTAAATACAACACCTTTAAGAAGTCCTGAATAGTAGAATTTTTTTTCTTACTGGTATCTGCAGCATTCATTCCAGAGAAAATGAGTTTGTCAGGCAAATAATTTTTAGAATCTGTGGGGTCGATTTTAAAGACATCCTGATAACATTTAATGTTGCACAAAAGCTCATGCTTCAAAAAAAAGGCAAAGAACTGCTTAGTCAGATTAAACATTTGAACATGTAGTTCATGTAATAGGCATTCATTTGATTGAAATAATTTAACATATTTATTAAAATGGGGCAAAACAGCTTGATAAATACCAATTTGTAATAATGTCTTTCTCTGCTCAACAAAAAGTCTTTGAATGATTCTTTTTTTCCTATTTCTTCCATCATCAGTGAGATGCTTCTTTTCCAGTTGTAATTGAATATCTTGAAGACTTTTAATTTCTTCATTAGAAAGTTGTCCTCTAGAAAAAACTTCCTTAATATCATTTTCATACAATTTTTTGTCCAATCCAACCCACGAAAAATAAAATATTAAAAGAGCATCCCATAAATATTGTAGACGTTCAAGCACTTGAAGCATATAGAGCCATCTGTGGTCAGGTCTATTTAAAGGTTTCAGTAACTTCATCTGAAGAACTGAACAAATTTGGAAAAATAATTCCCTTTTATCAGCACTCTTAAGATCAAAATATATGTTGTCACATAAAATTTCCAAATGCTTCAAAAATGGCCCAGTCAATTGTTTTGAGCAATTGTTCGCAATATGGCATGTTTCTCCATCTATGTCCAACAAATGTGGAGCATTGATGGATCTAATTTGAGTTTCAACACTATTTTTTTCCCCACGCATTGTATTGCAGGAATCCATTAATACACTTGTTAAATTTGAAAATGGCACTCCATTTTCCCTGAAAATTGAAACAATAGAATTATAAATGCATTCTGCATTACAAGCAGGCAATTTAATTGAAGCTAAATGTCGCAAAATCACTTTGTGCTGGTCCTCAGCAAAGTATCTAACGAGTACAGCTAAAATACTCTCAGAGGCTCTATTAGTGCTTTCATCAATGTTGAGAGAAAAAAAAAGAATTCTTTAAAACTTCATACTGATTTTCTTTAATTGTTTTTGCAAGTCCATATTTTAGCTTATAAGATGCTGTTGTTCTACTGATGTCTAATGCATTTAAGGCCCTGGTATCATGTGATAACGTTTTAGTTAACTCCACAATTTGTGGAGCTAAAGAAAAAGGAATTGAATGTTCAGCCAAAAATGATAGAACAAGAGCTTCAGCCCTAGATTTTCGAGTGACCAAATCGACAGTATGTGATTCATCAGTATGAGTCAGATTTTCTGATCCAGGATAAAGGGAATTTAAAATCTGGGAATTTTTAACAGATTGACGACATTTCTTATGCACAACTGTTCCAGAATGATTCATCAAGGATTTAAACCCTTCATTGTGATATTTGATTGATGTATTGCACACAATACAGAAACATGTACCTGGTGTATCAATCTTGCGGCACCACACGTTGATTTCTTCTTCAAAAATGTCTTTTTTAATTAACCATTCAAAACGAAACTTATTCTTGCAGTCTTTTTCTAGATCGCTAATGTCATCTTTTTCTGTTAAGAACTTCATGATTACATGTACTTAAAAAATGCGATTAACGAAATTACTTTAAAAATGCATGGCGAATATTCAACACAAAATATGCACGAGGAAAATCTTTCGGCAGTTAAAATTTTAACACATGCTGACAAGTAGTGCAGCACGCAACTAAAATCTACAGCCCTACACCTACAGCCTCTGCTTTTAATTCCAAAAAATTCGCCAAGCAGTAAAGATTTTCTTTTCCCAATCCCTCCCCGTAACAGCGTCACACATTCTCCTGTCCCCCAATCCAACCTCCAGCGTCATGCCTTTCCCAACACAAGCAAAAGGAGAAGAAACGAATTCTTCCTCTCCTCTCTCACACTCTTCACCCCCTTCCCCCTAGCCTCGGACCAGCGTAGTACGAATCCTTGTCTGAGGGTTGCTACAAAAGAGCGTTTATTGCTATTTTGCGAACCTTCTATTCAATTTACGATTTTTTGATGAAACTGAAAGGCAAAGCTCCCGATTTTATACCCGGAACGATAATACAAAAAACCCGGAATTCCGGGGTATCCCCAGACCACAATCACCCCTGACTTCCTAAATTTTTTTTAAAAATTCGCTTCAAAAGTTCTAGAGATATGGTGAAATATGTAAAAAGAAAAATTAACATTAAGGGGTTCAAACAATTAATCACTCCCCCATCAAACTATGGGGATCATTTTTCTCAGATTGCAACTCTCTCAATATTTTGGGGGGCAAATATCAAATTCATAAGAAAAAAAGTATGTTTATTCCGTGAAAGTACGTTTTTTGTGTCTAATTTTGTAACTGAAAATATTGCCTGCACTAATCAACTAGCATATTTGAGGTCACCTCCTCAAATCCTTAATAATAAGTCCTAGCACATAAAGATCTGATCATTAGATCAAAAGTTATCCAGGGTGGTCTCTTTCTTTGGAGCACTGTACATTGTCATACATTAAAAGGGTGCTTTTATATTAAAAAAAAAATATTAAGGAACTTTATATATTTTCAAAACTGACTTCAAATTTGATATTCTCAAAATCTAAATTTATCTGAAGAATTTAGATACTGATTTGTTGAAAAGATACAAGCATTTAACCAACGCTTTCCGCAATTTTTTTTCACATTGTGTTGGGTAACAGACAATCGTGAACACTTTTTTTATTTGTAGAAAAACTAGTGTTTTTTCTTTAAAAAAAATTATATAATATATAACATTAGAAAAACAAAACAGAATTAGGATTCATCTGTAAATTATAATTTTAAACATTTAACTTAATTGTTTATTACATACACATAATTGAAATTTAAAAAATTTTTTAATTACATCAAATTTTTGAAACTAAAAAAATTCATTTTTTATTTTTAAAAAAAAATTGCATGCAGAATTTCAAAATTTAAGCAATATTTCAAAATTAAGCAATAACAATATTTCAAAATATTATTTGTAACTCAGAGGGAATGTTACTTTTAACATTGTTTTGCTTCTTTTTATCCTCTATCCACTACTTTTTATCAAAATATATATACATAAATACAAAATACATATTTTATCAAATTAAATTATAAAAATAATCATTAGTAACATGTAAAAATTTAAAAACATGGCCTTTTATAAAAATAAACTTAACAGAAAAAAACAAAGAAAAGAAAAACAGTTGTCATGGAAATTAGAAATTTTAAAACATTTTAACTCCATTTTAAGAAACACATACAAACTTGACAAATACAAACTAATTGTTGTATGATAAAAATACAAATCTGCTTACTTTAATTGCTTTTGCAGTTTCCAGTGACTGCTCAGGAGGGATTCCTACTTCACGTTCCCTCAACAAACTTTGAATAAAATAAGTGATGTTGCGTCCAGCAATAGGAATGTGCTTAATACAGCTACCTATTACATATCCTTCAGCCTGGAAAAAAAGATACATAATTAAGAATGATATTGGAATCAATCAATCAATCAATAATTATTATAATCCCAACTTACCACAGGAATGCAATGTGTAACCCCGTCACCTGAATCTATAACAAGCCCATTTAAAGTACGTTCACCTAACTGTCTTGAAGTCCAAGAGGCAGCCAAAGCTAGAACAGCCTATAAGCAAATAATTATAATTTATTAATAATTTGGATGTGCATGGGATTAATAAGTGAAAATTCTTATGAAGAAAATCAAAGTGCAATTACTTTTTTTTTTATCAACCAAAAAGTTGTTTTAAATTTAATTTTAAAAAAATACATAAAATAGTATATAACTTTTGATTCTATATATATTAGAAATTTGGAAATTAAGCAACCTAAAATATTTAAAACAAAAGTATTGAAATATTGTGTAGAGGGGAATAGATAATTCTATCAACTTCATTTAATCAGTTTCTTCAACATAAATTGATCTTTTGCAAAAGCATTTCATTATATAACAACTTTAAAGTTGTAATGTTGGCTTCAATTTTTTTTCCAGAATAATTTTTAAAAAGCATTTATTTTCAAAGGCAATATAATTTTTTCAGATAATATAACACTAATGTTAACATAAACTTATTACCTGTCATTTTATTATTGCCACCAAAATAAGATGAGCAATAAACATTTTTAGATGCTTATAAATTTCAGGCATAAGTTAATTTTTCATAGTAGAGTTCTGTTAAAAAATTTTGTTAGCAAACTTGATTTTTTTTTCCAATTAGCTTAGGACTATCAGCTGTGTTAATAGATTTTTCAGAATTAGACCCGATCAGCAATAATGTAAAATAAAATTTTTACTTTCATTATCAATGAAAATGATAAAGCTAATTATTCATCACATCTGAAAGGGGGGAAAAAACTTATCCCTGATAAACCTTTTTCAGAGACACACAAATGTTATGAAGTAAAACAAAATATTTCTAAAAATACACTAAATGGCAAGCTTTGTTAAATTTGAAAGGAGATATTGAATAATAGAAAACAAATAATTCTTTAATAAAGAATACTAAGATTATGTATAAAGTTTACAAACCTGAACAGCAATATATAAGCCAGGAACATTAAATGACTCAAACATTATTTCGGCAGTGTATTCTCTGTTTTCAGGGGTATTTAATGGAGGTTCAGTCTACATACATAAAAAAAAAACATTAAAATACAATTATAATGTTAAAATACAAAGTAAATTTAATTCAAGTCTTAGGCTAAAGGTAAATCTAGAGGCTGGCTCAAAGTGTGAAGAGAAAAAAAGCATCAATGGTTTTACAATAAAATAAAAAGAATAATCTCTAATTTTGACAATGACTGTGAAAGTAGTAAAAGAAATCCCACCAAATTATCTTCAGCAACATAATTTTGCACGAGATTAAAAACTGAAATTAGATTGCAATACATTGTATAGAGTTTGTAAAGTATGTCAACTAACTCAAACTCTCTTAATCTCGAAATCTTAACTATTACAGTTGTAAAACATATCAAACAATATTAATAGGTTTTTGTATCCTTAAATAAAAATGGATGTATAAACCAGTTTTGAATTTATAATTGAGATTGATTGTAAATCATAATATTTAGATTAAAAAAAAAAAATGTTTTTATTTTCTTATAATAACTTAAGCATGTGTTGATAAGTACTTGAAAAGGAATAAAGTATATAAACAGTGAAGTTATACAATCTTTTTAAAACAAGTCAATATGCCCATTAACGAAGATTGAGAGAATAAATAAGTTTTAGTGTGTATAAGGTTTTTCTAAAAATATTTTTCTTCTTTTTATTAATATTTATTACATTATATTACATGTTTTATAATAAAGATTAATGAGAAGAGAAGAAAAATTTTTAAAATAAAATATTTTTAAAAAATAATTTGAAAAAATTATGCTAAGCAGCAGGAAAAAAAAAGAAAAAAAAAAAAGATAAAAATATATTATATCTTCATCAGCTCACACAATTATATCTGCAAAAAGACTGTTCTCTAAAATTGTACCAATATAACCAAAGCAAAATATATCAATACACAATATATACAATAGTTTGAGGAGCACTGAAAAATATTAAAATAAAATGGAATATATAGAGTAAAATATATATTACGCAAAAAACAGAAAATAAAATGTAAAGAAAAAACAGAACAAAACGAAACAGTACTCCAAATCCTATGAAAGAATCAAATCGCACAATTGAGATGCAATGGCGATAATTTGGTTTTATATCTTCATCAAATGTGGATAAAATACAGAACAAGAAGATATAATTCTTATTTTTTCTGAGTCTGTCGAGCTTTTACTTGTCCTTTCATTACTTTAAATTGCTTTAAATGAATTTAAACTACTGTGAAAAAATATAATGCAAAATCAGCTAGTATAAGAGCAGAAAATATTTGTTAGTAAAATTCAATATATAATTATGTGTAGTAAAAATTAATATCTTTTAATTCTTTATATTTGAAGGCTACTGAATAGAGCACGGAATTGAACTACCAAATGGGATATTTTTTTATCTTTCAATATCGATAAGTGGTGCAAAGCTCCTCCCAGCTGGTCTACTGCTCAAGGTTTTTCATCAAAAATTAATTTTAAAAAAATTTCCAAACGAACATTTAAAAAAAAAATCTCAACTGAAAAGTAGACTCATTATTACCTATTTCTATTATATATCCAGCAGAAATTTAACACTTTGGACATTAAATTATTTACATTCTTTCAGTTCTAAAATACCAAGCTCTGTTAACAAACATTCTAATACTGATACACAACAATAGGGATTAAATTTCAATTACCAACCACATTATTTAAATCATTTTAAAAAACTCCACAACATTACGATGATAGGCCATTCTTACAATGGAAATGTAAGCAAAGTTTTGAAATTAAATTTGTTTTGACAAGTTTAATAAATCATAATTTTGTCCTCTTATCACAAAGGGAAATACAAATATGTATTTCTCCAAATCAATACAGAACAAAATGGTGGCTGTACAGCTATTTTTCGATGATGCCTATCTTTTTGAAAAAGCAAAAAATTAAGATAGGAGGATTAAGATTATACAGTCAAACCCCGCTATAGTGAACCATCAAGGGACCGAAATTTCGGTTCACTATAACCGGTAGTTCACTATATCCGTTCCGCAAACAATTTTAATTAATCGTTCCGAACACCTTTTTTTATTATACATTAGTTAAATAAATGACTAATAAAATGAAATACAAAAATGACGGAAAAATAATACGTAGTAACAAAAAATGTGTTAACTTGCTTTTATTTTTTAATTACTCTTCGTCTTGTGTACAAAAAAAAATTATCTTTAGCTGATGTAGGGAAAATTTGTCCGTACATCTGCCTGGGTAGGCCTTTGTTCAGGGATGGAAAAGTGTGATTAAAGGAGCAAACAAGAGAAAATGCTTATCGCTACATTCCACTTTATAGATGGTTTTAAAAATCAGTATAACTATTTATTTTGTGAAGTAGACGTTTCAAAATTATTAATAAGAAGGAGGGAAAAAAATCAGTTGATGACAGAAAAAAAGTTCATAATATCCAACTTCCCCATTTCTTAAGTTCACTATATCCACAAAAATAACATTATACGCGTATAGCAAAGCACAGGACCGAACATTTTGCTCACTATATCCGGGAGTTCACCATAGAGGGGTTTGACTGTATATATACTTTTTTCATGTACACAAACCTCACAGTGTTTCATAAAACTTTTTATTAAGTGAATTTTAACAAAAAAAGTGTAATTTTGTAATTTTTTTGTAAATATTTAAAATTCCAAAACAAAATAGTCAAATATCAGATTATAAAAATAACATACATATATATATATATATATATAAAAAACAATCCAATAAAATGATATTGTCTTTTGTACTTCAGTAAATAAATAGTAAATCTTAAAAATGGAGTTAAATTTAAAATCAATCAGAGAAGATTTGATTGATTTATAAACTCAGACTTGAAAAATGTAGATTCAAGAAATTAGTTTTTAAAATATATTTTGACTGTCCAATGTGACGCGATGACTAACAAAGTCAGCATAAAAATTTATTTAATCAAAATTTTCTGATCACAAGACTTTGGGTATCATCAACGTAAGGTATAAAGGTGTATTCTCCCTTAAGTCCTCACCTTTATATACAATAAGATTTAACTAAGCATTTCTTTAATGATTTTTAAAATGGATGCTTATTTGACCTATGTTTTAAGAAATCCGGGACAACAATTTCTTAAGCAAAAAAGTTATAATGGTTTAGACACACTCTTTGCAATAAAACTCAAAAAGAGAATTATTTAATTTGTGGAAGTAACAAAAAAAAAAACATTCTTTCTAATTAAATATTGCAAATAAATGTGATGTTAAAACAGTTTAACTTTATAGTTTACCAAAAGAAAATAATGATCCTCAGGCTCAGCTCTTAAATACTTGAAAATACATTGCTCCCAAAAACGCTCCATTAAATCCCAATCTTCAACGATTCCATGGCGGATAGGGTACTAAAAAATAAAATGATTTGTTTAAATTTTCATAGAAAGGTACAGGAATTAAAATAAAAATTATATAAAATATCATTACTTTGACAGAATAGCCAGTCGAATCAAGAGCCTCATCTCCAATATAAAAATCTAAATCATCAATTCCACGTCCTAACCTTCGAATGGCTTGATCACCAATCTTTGCAGTTTCACGAATCGCTATGGCTATAATAAAAAAAAATCAAATAAAAAAGTAACAAGATAATGTTCGCCGCGTTTTTTATAGCCAACTACTTTTTTGCATATTATTAGTGCAACTTCCAACAAATGTCAAAAATGAAATCAAATATTGCAACCTGATGAAATTTGAAATTCAGATGTATAGCAGACATTTTTGAACAACTTAAAAGATGCATTTAATAAATAAACCAAACAGATATGTTTCCAATGATATTATTTTGGTAACTGTTTCCATTACTCGTATACTGCAAATTTCATGAAAAATAGTAATTTATAGACCTAAAACTATGGTTCAAGAATGTTAAACAGGCACATAAGGGATACAATGATAAACATGTTGAAGTTAATTTAATGCATATACTATTTTTTTTAAAATACCTTAAAATAATACCAATCTCTATTTACTTTTAGCAGATGCACAGTAATAAAGAAGTTACACCAAATAACAATTTTTTCCTCATAACTCAAATGTAAAAATACAATGTAGCGAAGTCAACATACTCTATTAAAAACAACAACTACAAATGGTAGTCTATAAATGGTATGTTCCGGAACATTGTAAGTACACTATTACCTGTAAAATCGTCGAGCATTTTGAAAGAAATCCCAAACCTGTTAGTCAAAAACGCCAACCAGAGCAAAAAGGAATTAATAGCAAGTGCAATGAAAGACAGAAATAAACAGTCGACGCATATGATTATGTTGGCAAAAATTGTCACATGAGCGTGGCTCAGCTGCAAATGTCATTTCTAAGCAGAGTAAACCTTTTCAAGAGGGAGAGTTCTTGAATAATGACTGGTTAGCATGCACGCCCTCATCTTTGATAATACAGATAAAATTTAGCTCCTCAAAGATACTCCTCTATCTAGAAACACAATAAAAGAAAGAATCTCAGAACTAGCCGGAAATGTAACAGATAAAAAAAATAATTGAACACTGCTTCTTTTATATCGCTATGTCTTGACGAAAGTATTGACTTCACTAAAACTGCATGTTTAGCCGTTTTTGCTCGATATTGCGTAGGAAACGTCATAAAGGAAGAATTATTCGCGATAACATTGCTGCTAACAACTACTAAGGGTACAGATATTTGTACAGTTGTTAAAAATTTGCTTTGCTGAGAAAGAAATTGATTTTAAAAAAACTGTTTCAGTAACAACCAATGGTGTTCTAAGTATGTTGGTCGAAACGAAATTGTCTTAAAAGTTTATTTCAAACAGACATAGGTCATTCAATTCTTGAATTTCACTGCATCATTCACCAACTAGCCTGTGTGCTAAGAGTGGTTTAACATCTCTTGATAATGTAATGGTGGTAGTCACAAAAATAGTCAACCTCATTTTGTTGCAGGCTTTAAATAAGCAAAAGCTTGATGCTTTGTTGGATGACGTCAACTTGGTGTATAACATCTTACTGATGTATAATAATGTTTGCTGGTCGAGCCGAGGTAACCTACTTCAAAGATTTGTTGATTGCTTGGAAGAAATGAGACAGCATCTGCAAAATGAGGGAAAAATTGAACAATACCTACAGTTGTTGGATGTTATGTGGCTTTCAAAATTGATGCTTTATACAGACATATTCCAATGTTTCAATGAATTAAACAGGAAGCTTCAAGGCACAAATAAAACAATTATTGCCATGATAGATCTCAGTGGCGCTTTCGACACTAAGCTACATGTTTTCAGAAATGATATTATTACAAGAAACTACAAGTATTTTTCAAACTTAGAAAGAAAGAAAAAATTCAACAATTTAGATAAGTGAAGAAACAGTTACTAAAGAATTTATTTCTGTAGTTGATTCTTCAATCAATGAATTTTCAGCAAGATTTTCTCAATTCAAAGAATTATCGTAAACATTTAAGTTTATTATATACCCTGATGTGACTTCATTTGATAAACTGAGCTTGCCCCAATTCGATTGGTTGGAAATTGAAGAATTTGAAATGCAGCTGATTGAATTCCAGTCTAGTTCAATATAGATTCAAAAATTTATTGAAACAAGGAAAGAGTTAGAACTAATTGAAACAGAAAGATTGACAAGCAATATAAGTAAAAATATCAATAACAAAATTTTGGAAATATGGAATTTGTTACCAGACACATTGTTTGAAGAAGCTGGCTCGTGCTATTTTAACCATATTTTCATGTACCTATGTTTGCAAGTCATTATTTTCAGAGACGAATAACATTAAAGACTCACTTAGAAATTGCTTGACAGATAACTCCAGTTCAGCATACATTCTGCTAAAAGTAACATCGTACAACCCTAATATTAAGTTATTTAGATTTTAGAAGCCACACTAATGTTATTATAGTTATATTAGTTATTAGAAGCCACAATAATGTTACTTTAATTTGAATTATGCATATAACTGAGACATTGCAAAATGTATAGCTTTTTTGCAGTAAATAAATAGTTTTGAGTTGATAGTATTTAGTATTATTTTCTCAATAATCACGAAGTCAAAATTATTTGACAACATGTCTATGACCTCATTAAACATTTATTCAGAAAAAAATGGCACATCGATACAAAAAGATTTACCACCCCTGTGCAAGTATAATCCAAATCCTACATTGGCAGTTATTATTGGCGATGTTGGTGAGGAAAAAAATCCCTAGAAATTGGTGTAGATGGTTAAGAAATCAGTAATCAAGATAATGTTTAAGTTACTATTTTTAATCAAAATATTAAAGCAAATTTCTTTCCAATACAGTAAAAAAGAGCTCATGATAAAATTCAGTAAAACGAAGTTCATGATAAATTACAGTAAAACTAAGTTCAAGATAATAATACACATATGGGCTGGAAAAATAAGCATACTAACCGGATGGAATGATAAACTGAGGCTCTCTGTTGCCAGCGAAACCAAGTTTAGTATAACTAATGAGAAAAAAATTTGATTAATGAACAAAAATATATTTAAAAAAATTCATCATGATTAAATAAATCTAAGAAAAAAATTAAGTCCTAATTATATTTAAACAACTTAGCAACTCTAATAAAAAATCTTAAAATAAAGTATGTTGCTTCTTGTCAATCAACAGTCACATAATGTTCATTCAAAATTCAGAATATTTGCAAGAAAAAAAAAAGGATTTATGAAGTTTTATTAGAATTTTTTTAAAAATATTTGATAAATATTAAAATGTATAAAACTGATAAGTAATAAAATTAATTCCACAAAACATACACACTTCATTGCTTGCTCTTTCTTAAAACTACAAAAAAGTGAAATTATATTTTACAAGCTGTAAGAGCTAATTTTAAACTATCATAAACCATTTGGTTCTCGGAATATCAATTATTATCAACATACTAAATTTATAAGTTATTCATATGTACTAAATAGTTTTATCAGTGCATATATTTTCAGAAATCTGAACACCTATTAGTATGTTATTAATTTCAGTTGTGGTTAAATTAATGACGGAAAATAAAATAAAACTGAAACATATTTTTAGTAGTCTCTGCAGATTTTTCAATAAAAAAATTATAACACATTAGACTTAGAGTAAGGAATATGAAATGGGCCCATGGACAATTGTTTTTGCCTTCCCCCTTTGAGTAAAGCCTTCTTCATTAAAGTGCAATACTTTTTAAAGTTAAATAAATGCTTTTCACAATTTTTATAGTTTTAAAAATAAAAACGCATTAATAAGGCGAAAAAAACTATATTTGATTCGAATTCAAACATCAAAATATTTTCAAGATTCTATTTATAAGAAAAAATCATTAACCTTAGACCAATTTAAACCCTATTCCTCGATTTATAAATTTTTTAAACTTATTATTCCTTTTTATTGCAACCCTGTTTTTATGAGTATGACTATAACAATTGAAATATTAAATATTTATGCCTATTTTTCTGGTGGGAGGGGCAGACAGCTATACGACAAAATTTAAATTATTGCAAAAGAAATGAAGTATTTATGATGTTTAAAACTATTCGCAAAAAGTTTAGAGCCATTATCAGCAAAAAGTTCTTCACGAACCACTTACAATTGTAAACTACTTGACAGAATGATATAAACAAAGCAAGCACACTTACTTACACTTAAGACAATTCAATATTTTTCTTTTAACTTACGTTAATGATTTAACTCTAAAATAATTTTGTAACATCATAAATAAGAATCTAATATCATAATGTGATTTGAGGCAGAATATATCAAGTAATAATGTACATGAAAGAATGATCGGTAGAGTAGGTTGTCAGGTTCTGAGATATAAAATAAGATAGATGCATTTAGTAAACAGCAGGGTAAAAGGTAAATATCTACTTAAATTTTAGATAAAAGCAAAGTATATTGAAGTTGAGAGATAAAACAAAAATAAAGTCTACGTTCAGCGGAAATGACAGTTTGATAATACATAAATCATCATCACTTAAATATATTTCTTTAGAAAATAAAACTTCACTTTTCATAAGGAAATATAAATATATTCAACTATTATATTTACCCTGTTCCATTATCTATAACTATAGCGGGCAGTCTTCCGGCCATCTATTAATATTAATATAAACAGAATAATGAAACTACACTAAATATTTTACCACCCGCTACCACAACACCCTTAAGATTTGACGGTTACAAATTCAGTTAAATGAACAGAAAAAGTTATAATATCTCTGGCTCCTAGGCCCATGCAATAAAGTGCGACATCTGGCGAATTATCTTATTACATGCTTTTGCACTCAAGCAGACTTTAAATTTAAATTAATTCTCTTTTAAAAAAACTTCTTAATGAAAGGAAAAGTTTTCTAATTGAATAGTATTGGAGAAAAGCAAAGATTCGAATTTTCAATTTTGAATCAATTACCAAAAATATAGTATAATTAGAATTTAACTATGTGGAAAATTCTTTTTGATTCAATTTACATTTTCAAGAGGGTGATAAAAGATATCAAACTTACAAACAATGTTTAGAGAGAATAAAGATTGCAAAAGTTCTTTACAGGTTTTGACGTCACGCTGAAAAATAACAACTAAAGATTAAAATTTGTTTAATATAAACCTAAATTTTTTTTAACTTGGTCAGATATATTGCTTATGAGTTCCACACTACAAATAAGCCATACAATCGCAGACAAATTAGGAGCCACACAGTGGGGGTTAATTTGTCCCAAGTATGAACTGTACACAAATCCGAGGAATTGAATTAGAATATGAAATCCCGATCTCTAACCAGAAGAACCACGGTACAGTTTGTCTGTAGAGGCAGAAATAATAATCACAAGGGTGCTAGTTTGAATTCCAGAACGTTATCGTTATGCTCGAAAATTTCCAGGGCATATTATTAGCTTATTTTTACTTTTATTTATGGAAATATTTTTTTCTACTAAAAACCTTTACAACTTTTAATACAGTGTTTCAATAAAATTTATAAATTATATTAATTTGGTTAATTATTTTAAAAAATAAAAATACATAATTTATTGTAATAAAGTATTTTATATTATCTTTCTCAATGTACTCCTTTAAAAAGAAAACTGCTGGAAACTCTGAAACATTAATGAAGATTTCATGTGTTCTTTGCCTATACTTGTAGGCCTATATTGTGATTTTTATGTATTACTATAATTTTTAAAATTGGCTTCATTTAATAGTAAAAAATATCTAATCACGAAGCCAAGTTCCAAAATTATTGATGATTTAGTTGGGCTCCTAAAAAGAAGGGCCTAATTATAATGTCAATATCCCACTTTTAATAAAAGCGTTGGAACTTTTTAGAATATAGTTCACGTTCTAAATAAACATAATGCCATTATATACCTATTTTGAAACTTTTCAAATATATTGTTGTGACGTACCACACTAAGCCACAATCTTATAGAAGTCTTAAGGGCCACACAATAGGACATAATTTTTCCCCAGTGGGTGCTATGAGCAAATTTTCGGAAATGACCTAAAATCTGGAGTCCTGGAAATGAACTACACGTCCTCGTGGTATAAGGTGCCAGCAATGCTTATCACAAGGAAGCAAATTTGGATCACGGGATGCTCTGTTATAGATCTCGAAAAAGCTGGGTTTTACTATTAGCTAATTTTATTCCCGTTTAATTAAAGAAATATCCTTTTTCTAATAAAATGCTTTTTTTTCCTTCAGTTTCTTTACAGTATGGTTATTTTGAAAAATTTCAGATTTCGTGTGCTCTCTGCATACACTTGAAGACCTATATTTTGCCTTTATATTAATCTATGATTTTGAACGTGGTTTCATATATTATTTTAATATACCTAAACACGAGGCACTATCGAAAAATTATAGACATACTATTTGGTACACAAAAAGGGCTTATTTGTAATGTTAATATTTTTTTTTAATCATCGGAACTTTTTGCTCAAGTTCTAAATATTTAAAAGACCTATGTTTGCCTATAAACTTGATCAGATTTATTGTTTATATGATATGTACAGTCAGCAAAAAAAAAAAAAAAAAAAAAAAAAAAAAAAAAAAAAAAAAAAAAAAAAAAAAAAAAANTATCACCCTGAATAACTTTCGTTCTAATGATCGGATTTTCAAAAACTAAGTGTTAATCTTAATGGTTCCTGGGGATGACCTCAAATATGCTAATTAATTAGTGATAACTATTAATTAAGTTACGAAATCAGACACAAAAACGTACTTTCTCCGAATAAACATATATTTTTTTTTACATATTTTGATTCTTAACCTTCAAAATATAGGGGGTAGCCGCAATCCCCATAGTTTGGTCAGAAAATATAGTTTGGGAAATATGGTCCCCATAGTTTGGTCAGGAGAGCGATACAAAGTTCGTATCCCTTAATGTTAATTTCACTTTTTAGGTTTTCAGTCATATTTTTAAAACTAATAAAGCAATTCAAAGAAAATTTCAAGTCATAAAACTCACTTACCCAAAGATAATTTCATGAAAAAAATAATTTTTAAAAATTGTTAAATATTTCTTATCATTTAATTAAATTGAGGATTAAAAAATTTCGAATTATAAGGTATGAATTTTTTTATACCATAATAATCTACATATTTTTCAATTGAAAAATCTAAAGTTTCAACTGTTTTTATTTATTAGAAGCTGAGAAAAATTAAAATTAATTATTTTTAAAAAAATAATTTGGCGACAATAAAGAAATGATTAAATGGGGCGATTAATATTAAAATGTGATAAACTTGCGAGGAACTTGACTTCACGCGCGCAGCGTAAAATTTCATTTATATTTTTTTCGCTAATAATCGTTTGCTAATCTTTTTATTTTATTTTTTTTAAGCTATAAAATGAGATGTTTCTTTTTTAGTCGTCTAAAAATCTATTTGCAATTTAGTAAAGAAATTTGAATAAAACATTTTATTGAATAAAAAACATTTTATTCAGCGAAAGTGGAGTTTTATAAAAGCATGCTTCTGATAGAATATGATTATACAACAGATTGTGCTTCTTTAATGTGATTATTTTTTAGTTTTTTTTCCTCAATAATTGATACAATTTCAATAATATACATACGTATGAATAAATTTGGAATAAAATATTCATCAATTTCTTGAATATATATTTTATAAATATTAATAAAAATACGTAGTCAGCATTTTTAAGCATCTCTTACAACATCGCAAATTTCTCAACATCTTATAGGGTAAACTAACCAGTGAAGGAACACTTAAGCTTAGCTTGCCTTTAAAAAATATCATAAAAATTTCAAAATTTGTAATTTTAGCTAAATGATGGTGTCGACATATTTGTTATTAAATGCAAATTATGCAAAAAAAATTTAGATAACTTACATAATATTGTTTTAAGCTTTTGGTGGTTTAAATAATAAGTAGTAAGATAACCAAGTGAAGGAACAGTTTTTACATTGAATAAACACTTAATTTTGAGAATGTCTGATGCTCGTAAGGAATCCTTAGGCCACCTTTTTTTTCTCACAATTTAATAGTCCGTTCTAAATTATGAGCGTTTATCATTGCGTAATCCTATGATGTTTTTATTATTATTATAATTAGATCACTTTTTTGTTTACTCCTTTCCCCATATTTCTTAAGCTTTTTTTTAAATCGTTTTAAGTATTTTTTTTTCTCTTCGTCATACTTTCTGCTTTAACTTTTTTTTTCCAGCTTTTTCAATCTCTTAAATTCTGGTTCTTTTTCTGAAGTTAATGTAAAAAAGTAATTTATTTCTTTTTTTTTTGATTTAGCCTTCCTCCTTTTTCCAAATTTTTGGCCAATGTAATTGTATCATCGAAATTTCTTTCGATTTTCCAGTACCATTTATAGAATTCCTCACTGGATAATAAATGAGAAAAAGGAGTTTCGAAGTTTGAGTAAATTCCATCTCTCACTGACTTATATCTAGTGGGTCTTCAGTAGTATTTACCATTTACTTATGGAACCAATTGTTTTTGCAACTAGCAATGCCTCAAGAGGACTTATCTCAAAATCAGTTTTCAAGATGCATTCATTATCAATGTTAGTTGTTTCATCTTCAGTGCCAAAATTTGATTAACCAAATGTTCTTTTTTAAATAAATTCTTCCATATTGAGAAAAGCACAGGCTATTGGATATTTGGGTGATTAAACTTTTCTGTCAATATTCCTTTAAAAATTTGCAACATAACTTGTGAGATTTCCTTCTCAAGCTTCTGAAGAAATAGTGCATTGTTACTCTCGAAGCCTGTGTTTTGTTGATAGGCTGTCTTGCTCATTAACTCTTGGTGTCTGTTTCGCATGCATTTGTTGAAGTAAACGTTTTCTACATCGAATGGAAAAATATCGCATTTCATAAAAGCATTTTAACTTCATCAGTTGAAACCTCAAAATCTTATTTAAAAATGGATGTAAAATTTTCTCGACATATTGTTTTACAATTCTTTTGTTTTCAAGATCTAATGGGAGATTTCCATGAATTAGGTAGAAAACTAAACCAGAAAATTTATTCTGATGAACAAAACTTGCTCAGTTTCAAATTGATATGAGATTTATACCTATGCAGAAAGAAGCAAAATATGGAATTTGATAGCATTTTTAATTAGCCATGAGTAGAAACATTTGAAATATATTTGTAAAATGTTGCTGCGGTCATCGTTTCATTTCATGAATAGCTTTTTCCAATGAAATATGTAGCAGTGACTGATTCAGTAATATCTCAAAGAATTCTTCAGTAAGGAAAAACTACCAACGGAGGTACTTTTTCTTTCCTAGGTACTTTAGAATATAAATCCTTATAATTTTTAGAGCCAAAGATTTTAACCGTTTAAGGGTAGTATTCACCTCTAGTTTCATTCGCATTGTAAATGCAATCACTTTCTAAAAGGATGACAGGGCTACTTCCTTTCTAAAGATTCTTTTAAAGTTCTTAAAACCAGTATTTCGAATATTATTCTCTAAGGGAAGTTTTGCCTTTTGAAATTATCTTCGCATTGCACTGAGTTATCGGTGGATGTCACCTTAAAATAAACTTCACCCATTTTTCACCTGGATGATTGTCTTTAAATGGATTTTTCCTACCAGTTCCCGTCAGGACGTTAACATATTCTTCGATATTTTAACGTGAATAAAGTGTTCGGTATATAAAAATAACTATTTTTTCTTCGGGAAATAGCGAATAATGGCTAATAAACGGATAAATTTCGGAAAATTTT